TAATTAAAATCCATTTTGCTCATTAAAAAATACGTACTGCTGATGGGTAAAAGCTATTTTAGTGCGAGTGGAAGTTGCCATTAATGACCGTGTAGTCGATTTGATGACACGGGTATAAGTAAACTATATGCTTTATAGTTTATACTTACACCTTCACTCATGAATGCTGTGTACAATTGTACCCCTAGAATCGGCATCACCGGTATGACAGACATGGTAGTCCTAGGAATGGAAGTCCAGGAATTGATGTGATATAGTACCGTACAAGTAAGTGTTATGTAAGGTATATTCCGATAAGTATATAAGACGAACGACACCTGTATTGAAATATATCTCCAAAAACGTCTTAATTATCCTTTGAAGACAGACTCTTTGTTGAGGTCCTTTGCTGGGAAAATTGATGAAATCGAACACAGCAGTACCATGCATTTTATTAAGCTATATAAATCATAACCTACTTTTGACTTTGCTTACATATTTGTGGTCAGGGAATATTATCTGTGAGGTTGACAGCAGTTGAACTGAATCTTAATAAATACTCGCATTTCAACGAATAATCACCCCTTAATCCGAATAAAGCGCTTATCGCCACTATTACATATCATCTCTACATCTCCAGATATATTTGATTCAAACCCTGAATGATAACATCAAAAGTTGCAACATTACAGTAACCCGACCTAAATTTTGCCACATAAGCGATCCATTCACTCTGATTGGAAAGTTACCTTATCGATGTTATATTTCCTTAACTCGTTTAAAAACAACGAATTACGTTAAGAGTCAACATTTAGTCCAGTTATCACCCCCATAAGTCAAACATAAAACCTGCAGTGTTCTTTTCTGATTGTCACATATTGACTTATTGGTTTAGTCATAGAGTATCTTGAGTGGGCTTTTTTTCTGTTTTTTTTTTTTTTTAATTTCACCCATGGTACAGTGGTGGGTTGCCAGGGGGGTCTCGAAAAAAATCACAACACTCTTAAAATTAGAATTTTGACTAGCTGAATCGTAGTTCTAAACAGAAACAAATGGCACCGTTCACCCCTAAAATACCATTTTTGGGGCCTGCTGAAGGGCCCCGAACCCCAAGCCTACGGGGGGTGGAGGTGGAGTGGGGATGGGGGCAGGAAGGTCGGCTTCGCATCCACAGACCCCCCTCTTCAAATGATCTCCGACTGTGCCGCCCCTCTCCCCGTGGCTCAGTGAAACAGTGAATATATCACATGCGGCATTATTTGAACCCTTTGGTCGTCGAATCTGCCACTGTGCCACTCCTATCCATGCTCACTAGATTACTGTCAACTTAGCCGGCTTAAAGAAGAATTCAAAAACTTTTTTATTTAAAGAATACTTTAATTTATAGCATCTTTTTAGTTTTTAAAATTTTTAAGTATTCTGTTTTTAGTCTATACTGGCTTTAATTTATCTGTGGAGTTTTTTTATTTCTTATGTAAACAGCGCTGAGACGCATGTGTAGCGCGGTTTTAAAGAAGTGTTTTATTATTATTATTATTATTATTATTATTAAATGTCTGCCCCACCTACTAAAAGCTGTAAGGAGGTAATCAATTCCGTGCGCGCTCGGCTGACAGCAAATATACAGTCATAGGCCAACTTACCTACTATAATAAGTCTGCCCTCAGAAATTCGCACATTTCGAAACAAGTGGCATTTGGTTATATAGGCAGGTGAGTCTATTTCAGCCTGGATACACCCCCTCCCTTTAAATAAAAAGGCGTAACTTCACAGGCAAGATGACAAGCACGTTTTTTTAAAACGAAAGCGTTACTTGGCTAAATAGTTGTTCTCATGTCATACAGTTGAATGTCAGAAATTGAATGATAGAAATCTCGGGAAATTTAGAGGCCTGCAAGCGCAGGGAAATTATATGTTAAGAACTACATATATACGAAAAATTTTAACATTATACTTGTCGTACTGGTATTGTATTGTCTTCATTCTCATTTATTTATTTTTTTGTGATTAACATTATTATTTTGTAAATTGTTGTACCGTACTTATGACAAGAATGTCACGGTAAATAAACTGCTACTAGCCGGTTAACTTTGATGTTGACAGCAAGAACTTTCGGGTGACATCAGATGACACTAATTACTATGTTTCATTTAAGTATGACACACTGGTCTGAACATAGGGGTAAAGCGATATAAACTCTTTGATCTCATTTCAAGATCTGAGTTGTCATAAACATTTTTATTAATCAGGACATTATTTTTTCTTCTCAGTTATTTTTGGCCACAAATTACACACACACACACACGTGTATCCCACTATTTTTCATGGGTCTGTCAAAGAAAAAAAAACATACTCATTGTTTTATAGAAAGAGGCAGGTCTAAGACCAGGCTGACAAAGAAAGACCGTCGAAGCAGAGCTGAAACAACTGGGAGAAAGCGCAGGAACCATTCAACACCGTCCTTGCGTGTGCTCTTTTTTAGTTCTCTAGACGCCAGCCGGCGCTTTAAAAGGAATTGGTGATCGTGATAATCTTATGTTTTTCTTAAAAACTGCTGTATATAAATTAAGTTAATTATAAATTAATTATATTATATAATTAAATGTGAGTCTTGATGCGACTGTCTCAAATAATGACAGGATGAAAAGATGCACGTGTAAATGAAAACAATATATCTATTTTTTACTTCTAAGGTTACAGAATGTGTAAAGCCTATAAATAAATGGTTGACAAAAATAACACGTGAAGGGTATCAGGATACATAGGTGGCCTCATCATGAGGGTTGCTTTGCACGTTTTATTACATAAGTAACTATGTGTGCGTTATATGTGTATAGGGCGTTGGGTGTATAGTTCACTCTTTTTTCACTAATAATTATAGAGTCAATTGGTATTTTCCAGACGCCGTAAAATAAATACTAAACTTCGTTCAGATCCATTAAGGTCGACAAAAGGAACAAATTTGAAAAATTAACAACGCCATTTAAAGAACTTTTAAACAAGGAAACAGAGGTGGTTGCTTGGAAATTTCATGCACGATATTTACGACCGTTTTTCTACTCCTCCGTGAAATTGCTACATTGCAGGGAATCTTTTACAAAGATCATATTTCGAAACCATTTTTCAGGTAGATCTACAATATAACAGGGAATTCATCTCGGGCTACGGGGTCCCATATAGTTATTACAGTTTAGGGTTAGTCGGAGTATTGAGGTTAGTATATGGGACGAATGGCACCTGTACAAAGTTACGGGAAACGGACTGCGATTCCTAGCGGACTGCCATTCCTGTCACTCCGGTACCCACCCGTTGGGCAGATCTCCCTTTGCGGAGCAGACGGTGGATTCTGCCAACTGGGAACTGAAGTCCAGCACAAAACCTCCAATTTTAAGTATTTTTTTCTTTATTTATACAATGTATGAAGTTTATGTTTTGTACAAGGCTGTCCATTTTGTTCTTTCTCAGGGTATCCCTTTGATTTTGCATGGATTTTGAAATATTTTTTAATGGTAAAAGCAATTTATTTAATAAATGTGTACAAAAGTAGAATGTAAAAAACAAATCTTTACACTAATGTCTAAGATTCTTGTACAACAAAAGCTACATGTTAAGTACAAATACATTGGTTCTGATAGTCTAAGAGCATATCATAACAGGTCCGTAGCCAGGGGGTGCTCGGGGGGTTCGAGAGAACCGACCTTTTTGCTTGGAAAAGGTCCACTCTGGGTACAATTTGACCTATGTACTTGAGGATTTTATGGTAAAAGGTCCTCTTTTTTCAGAAAACGACCCCCTTTTGAAATTACTGACTACGGGCCTGCATAAACCTAATCAGTACTTATCAGGGGCGGATCCAGTGATTTTCTGACAGTCTTCCAAATTATCTTTGTTGATCTATCCTTCATTTTGACCGTCTTCCGACACAAAAATTAGATACCCATCAATGTAAACTTGAAAATCTGACCGTCTTCTGGAAGACCCAAAAGAAGGCCTCAATCTGCCCCTGCGAATGATTTCATTGAAAAAAGGTATGATTGATAGATTTGGGGTATGAAAGTAAGAAACATTTAACCCGTCCAACAAAACAGAAGTCTCTTACTTTTCCTTCAGTTGGGATAAAGATGAGTACCACAAGGAGTACAAAAAACTTGCCGGAATGAATTCTGAAGAAATTCAACAGATGCCCCTCCCCCCCCGAGCATTTTCTCAGCCTTCAGCCCTTTTAATACATCAATTAGACCATAATAGACAAATGAGTCATTTACTAACACTACCTGCAGATTTTTTTTAGCACTAACACCCAAATTAACCACAAAACCCACTAATTAACCAACACACCGTAGAACTAATTAGCATCAACAAAGCGATACCTAGCACTAACATTATCTGCTCTGGTAGTGCTGGTTAATTTGTGGGTTATGTGGTTAATAATGGTGTTAGTGCTAAAAGATCTGGAGGTAGTGTTAGACTGGGTTCCCATCCCAAGAATGACTGACTAACAGGATTGTTCCATCTCCACGGGATTTCTCTCTAAATTGCTTTCAGCTTAGGTGGCTGAGATGTCTGGCATGCCTGCTTAACTATAATCAATTACCCTCGAACAGTTTCAGTAGGTGCACCAGACATCTAAGCCACTTAAAGGGATAACTTTTCGTTTTGGCCAAAAATGAATTTTCCTGGAGTAAACAACAATTTTTCCATACTTACCAATGGTTAATGATTCCATTTTTACATTCAAAGTTAGTCCCTGTTTTTTTTTTCTACAAAGTTTGTTTTTTTTTGTCAAAATCTCTTAAGAGATTATAACAGAGTATAGCCATCAATGGAGGTCACGTGGTCTAAAAACAAGCTCAAATATCAGAAAAATAACTATAACTGCTGTTTTTGTAGTAAAACAGAATATATTATATTTCTATGAGTTATTCACAATGTTTTTATTGTGAAATATAGACCTCATACAAAGAGTTATTATCCCTTTAAGTTAATTGCAATTAAGCAACAAACCACCTTGGAGATAGTTCGATCCAAAGTTAGTACGATATCACTGGGAATGGTCTCTTAGTAAACGCCTAATTCGTTTATTATAAGGCCTGTCAATAGCAGGCGGTCACAATCGTCTCATGGACTTGTGACCCACCCGTCAGTAGATCTCACAATGAAACTTAGACTGGGTTGCCATACCTAGTTCGCTCTAACAGGATCAATCCATCTCTAAGGATTAATTACCCCCTATCAGCTTCAGTAGGCATGACAGACACCTAAGCCACTTAAGATGATTGCAATTTTGCAAGAATCCCCTCGGAGATAGATCGATCCACAGCTAGTATGATAGGTTCTGGGAATGGTCCCTTAAGCTCAGAGTCCAATAAAATAGGACCTTCCCTTGGTGTTGTGTACAGGCTGAGGGTGAGGTTTGGTCACGCACCACTCGTACCACACATTCTTCTGAGTAACTCGCCGCCAGAAGTGGACCTCTAATACGTCCCCTGGCACCAGGTGTATGGGGTTCTGGAGGACAAAATTAACAGTCATTAATTCAAAATTGAAAACCAGTAAAATTTCTAAATTCAATAACATTTTCTGTCATTTTTTTTATTAAGTGAGATGTGCAATGTTGTGGGATATGCAAATATAGTCCTTAACTAAACTTATCTAATCAAAAAATTAAAAAGCATACTTGTTTGTCATAATCATCAATATTACATATAAAAACTGACAGACTTTATCTGCAAAAAAAAAAAAAAAAAAAGTCCACTTTCTTATAACAGAATATCATTTCTATTGAAGTAAAAATATGGTAACACAGAACTTACAAATTATATGAAACAAAACATATTTATTCACTCACTTTTATTGGAAAGAAGATTGGAAACCAACTAAACATTCCAGGGGAATGGGTCTCTGGAGTTATACCTGGATACAGAGAATACACTCAATTAATCATTATCTTATCACTTGTAATTGTGGGTAATTATGCTAATATGAGAGGATTGCCACAAAAGACATTATATTACATAAAAGCACACTGCATTCAAAGTAAACAAATATGAAGCCAAAAATGAACCAATTACAATCAACTTCAAATAGTATTTTTCACATTGATATAGATTAACTGTAATAAGAATTTCAATGACTATTATTCTTTTAACTGTTGAAAATTTAGGTACAAGAATTACGTTAATCTCTGTCCCTCTAATCTTTTATAGCTTCAAACACAATTTTTGCCTTGTCCAAGTAATATTTGGCCACTTACTTAATGTCACGTCGCCATATAATCTAGTGTCAAAATATCCTCCAAATCCATGGAGAACGCAGTCCTGAGTGACAGAGAATTGGAGACTTTTATACCGTGTATTGTCTATCAAACCTGAAAATATATTGAAGAGCAATAAAAAATTACATTCTTTCAATAAACCATATAATGATATAAGTATTATATAAATGTGACTTAGTGCAAAGCAACTGGCAAATACTAATTTGATCAATCTTCACAAATACATTTTAAATTATATGCAAAATATCTTAACTAACTTTGAAGAATAAATATGCTGGCACACAATTTACGGGCGAGGAGGAGGGGGCTTCCACCCCCTCTACCCTCCACCACTGGAAAAAGCCCCCCCCTCCCCCACTAGAAATCCCGAACCAACTTGCATAAAATAGCACTGGGTTATTGTTAGCTGTCTTTGCTTACTGTGGTCTTATTAAAGAGAAGTTATCATAATAAAATAATAACAAAGAAAAATAAATTAAAAAAATAAATAAGCAGAGCAGGAGGCGGTCATAATAATTAGGATAAAGGCTAGCAGCACTGTTACTTACCTCTGTTTGGATGAACAAATGTAAATAAAGACTGGCAGTCGGCTATATTAAAGACATTGTGCAGCCTGACAACATATGGTGTTTCAAATGGAGCCTAGAAGCAAGAATGCAAATTCCATTTAAGCAGTGTGTGAAAATAATTATCTCAAGCATCTTACATCTTTACCAAGTTGTTGATAATTGTATAAAAACTCTCATCATTAATGCTGTTTGTGAAACTATCAGATTTGTCTTCATTGTTAACAATGACAGCATTGTGGCAGGTGATAAATTAAAAGTGGTGAGATGGGTGTGAAAGAACTGCCAGACAAGATAGCATTGTGTTAGATGTGACAGCATAGTGTTGTGTTGGCTGTGACAGCATTGTGTTGGAAGTGACAGCATTGTGTTGGATGTGACAGCATTGTGCCGGACGTGACAGCATTGTGTTGGATGTGATAGCATTGTGTTGTGTTGGATGTGACAGTATTGTGTTGGACGTGACAGCAATGTGTTAAGCAAGACAAACTGGTGCTTGGTATGATAGTATTCTGTTTGACATAACATTATCTCACCCACCTCAGGATGTTTATCTTTTTCCCTGCACTGTCTGACCTCATTATACAGCTTGGCAGACTGGAGAGGATTCAAATAGGACGTGTACTCACATGGAATGCTAATTCCATCCTCTGAAATGTTGGAGATCTTTCAAGTTTCTATTCTAGTGCTTATTATATTGACATATTCGGAAGGTTAACATAAAATTGAGAAACCAAACTGAAATCAAGATTATACTCCAGACATTTTGGCACAGTTTCTTTTAAACGGAAGAAGGGATGAGAGGCTAATATCCATTTTGTTAAAGTGTTTATAATAATTGTTTGAACATAATAGAAGAATCCATCAACTCTCAAAATCTGAATTATATTTGTGCACCATCTATAAACACTAGAAATATCCTTTTGGTTAAAAAAATGAACTATAAATTTTAAAAAAGCAAACAAATGTTCGCATTTACCTTTGAGAAATCTTTGAGCACCATCTAAACACTCAGGGGAGAGCTCATTGTCACTAAAAGACCCGAGGAGTTCACTGACTAAAATGTCGGCCTTCTCTGGTGCCTCCCACTCTCGCATGTCACATGATACTACCGTCACCTGGTTACCCCACATCTCTGCTTTCAGGTTCTCAAGACTGATAGAAAGATAATAATAATAATAATAATCATAATAATAATGTTAATAAAGTAGCAAAAGTTGTATCACTGTATAATGAGTACAATATACACAGAAGTAGAGTCAAACTTGAAAGGTACAGCAACTGCATTCCAAAGTGTCGTTTTTTTTTGCTAATTTTTTAAAATCCACAATTGAAATTTGTTATTAATATAACTTCTGTTACTTCCGTTATTTCCTTTATACACTACAGAACATTATTTCATATAAAGACACTTTATAGTCTAGGTTTAATTGGAAAAAACTTCTTGACTTATGACTGTCCATAGAGTGCCTTGCGGAAATTTGATTTGGTATGCATTAAACTAGATGCTCAGGGTGATGAACTAAATACAAACAGATAATGATCAAAAATGTTAAAAAACTTAACAATTGCTCAACTTACGTGACAACTGCATTTGGGTTTTTCTCCACTGCGTATATCCTGAGCTGCCTGTCTGCATTCTTGGCTGCCGTAATGGCTGCTCTCACGAGAGGACCCCTGCCTGCGCCCACAACCATTAATATGCTGAAATGATGGCAAATGATACAATACGGCAAGCCATACTTGCTGGCTCTGTCTTAAGATTCTTTGCAAAACACTCCTAGTCAACTGCAGCATAGTCAACCTAGCTAGGTCACTTAGCTTGAGCTAGTCAACTACGGATTTAAGTTTCTTTGTGAAACAGGGGCCTGGGCAACTTTTAATGAAGTGTATTTACACTACAACTGCTCTCAGCTTTCAACTTTTAAATATTTTTAATATATAAATTTGAAAGTATTAAGGAAGAAGGTGACAGTTTTCAAGAGTAAAATAAGTTTAATTTTATATTGTCGCCAATTATAATTAGCAAAAACTATCCACACATGCCCTGTTTAAAATAGTGCACACAGAGTAAACTTATTGCAGATATGAGGCATATGCATAGTATTATAAATACTGAACAATAATAAGTTACAACCTTTAAAGAATAAACACATACCTAAAAAGCCTTACTGATGTCAAAGCTACATAAAATCTGAAGTTATAAAAATCAGAAAAAAAATCCTAGATCATTGTTTGAAAATTTGTCTTAAAAATAACTCGTAAAAAGATCAACTCACGTGACTTTTGAATCTTTTTCCTCTGGTAAAACCCTGTCAAGAAGAGCGTAATAAATTGCCTGGAGAGAAAAGTTATTAACATATTAAAAAATGTATTGTGGATAGTTTACTCCAATCTTCTGAACCCTGCATAATATTTTATTTCTCAATTTATCAAATATATCTCAAATTTCTCAAAATCATTCATAAACAGCCAGCTTAACTTTTTAAGAATCAAAAATATATTTTATAAATAAAATTTTTAATCAAAACAAGTTTAGTTACGTCCTGACTTGTATAGGTTTCATATGATAATATGTGCTACCTTTTGGTATTGGGAGTATTTTACAGGATCCTTCTCAAACGTCTCGTACGTCTGGGATTCCAGATTGTCCATTAGAGGCTGAAAGATGAAGATTGTTGCAGCACCTGTTAAATTTGAGCCAACCCCAAAAGTTAAGAGCCGTGCAAATGAACCTACCTTGTGGCCTCTCATGCAAGTAAACACTTCAGCTGGTCAAATTTGTAACAAGAATCTTAGTTTAGCTCAGTTACAACAAGTTAACTTGTAATCAATATGATTGAAAAAAACAATTAGCTGCTCAACTCTTATCAACTATTTTTTGTTGTTAAATTTCAGATAGTTTAAATTGGTTTCAAAATTAATTTGGGCACTCCATGTGTGACTTTATGACTGTGTGTGTGTGTGCGTGTGTGTGTGTGTAGTGCCCACGTGCGTGTGTGTGTCAGTGGGGAGGGGATGAGATGGGCAAATCTTTCCCTTTTTTCTTTTCATTCCCAACAAACCAAATATAGATGGTGCTGCTGCTATCCCATCTCACCTGTAGAGGGCACTGTAGAAAGTCTTCATATCCCTTAGCAAATGCACTGACAGTATCAGGAGGGTCTCTTGATGCAAAGATATGTTCCATGTACTGGTAGTATGGCCTGATGCCTTTCTCTGGGTGGCGGACAACACCACTTATTATTAGTTGAACATCTAACTGAAAAAGAAAAAAATTCCTGACAATGATCAACGTAAAGCTATTTTTAGACCCCATTCCCATACCTAGATTGATGTAGCAGGATCAACCAATCTCTGAGAGGATTCTCGCTTAATTTTATTCAGATTAAGTGGCTTAGATGTCTGTCATGCCTACTGAAGCTGCTAAACGATAGTTAATTACCCCATAACAACTTCAGTAGGCGTGCCAGACATCAGAGTCGCTTAAGCTGAATGGAATTTAACAAGAAACCCTTCAGAGATGGTTTGATCCTGCTAGATCGATCTAGGTGTGGGAATGGGGTCTTAGTTTCAATTGACAGGCAGCATGGATATAATCTCTGGGGTAGCACTAGCAATTTCTTTCGCTTAGCCAAATCACCACAATTTTGTCAAATTATTATCAAAATGGTTATAATTTGGCTAAAACAAGTTAAATCAAGCCCTTTTTCTTTAGGCAATTTAAGTCAATTTTAGCATTTGGCTAAATTGGCGAGTGTTAGCGCTACCCCAGAGTCTACCATATTATGCTCAATGGTAAATACACTTCTTTTTATACAATTTGCAGCTATTATAAATATTGTTCACAATATCTAGTAGTTATATTTTTCATGTAGTAAAAGTTTAGCAATCAACAACAAATATGAATATAACAACTCATAGATGATAAATCGATTAAAAAATGGAAACATGCCTGTTTTCAAATCAATATAAACAGCATGTTAAAGCAATAATAACTCTTCGTTTCGGCCAAAAAATGAATTTTCCTGGAGTAAACAACAATTTTCCCATACTGACCAATGGTTAGTGAATCCATTTTTACATTCAAAGTTAGTCCCTGGTTTTTTTCTAAAAAGTTTGGTTTTTCGTTAAAATCTCTTAAGAGATTTTAACAGAGTATAGACATCAATGGAGGTCACGTGGTCTAAAGACAAGTTCAAATATCAGAATAAAAGCTATAACTGCTGTTTTTGTGGTAAAACAGAATATATTATATTTCTATGAGTTTTTCACAAGGTTTTTATTGTGAAATATAGGTCTCATACGAAGAGTTATTATCCCTTTAACCTTCAAACTTACGTCAAACAATTTTTTCACAAAATTTTGATGTCCCTTAGAAAGCACAGGAAAGCCCTTCTTATTAGTCAGAAATATACTGGTGGGTAAGATGGCCGCCTTAATGTTCTCCCCACACCAGCGCCTTAACACAGCCTCGTCAGGAAGGTCAGCCGATAGTTCGAGTGCCAGTCCAATTTTTTTCGAAGTGTCACATATGGTGCGGAATAGGTCCCACCTGATGGATGACATAGAATGGAGCAAATTTTTTGAATATGTCATTTATATCAAAATATTTCATGGGTATCATTTCCGATTAACATGGGCTCCAAAAACTGTGTGAGCACAAACTTAAATGATTTTATGTCAAATACTTCCTTTACCTAGTAAATGCTAATGAATTTATTACTTCCCTGGCCAGGCATATTCTTGTAAACTCAAAATGAAAATGCAGATTCTGCACTAGGCTGGTGGTTTACAACATTCATTATTGAATTTCAATGGCAATTTTTAAAATAAACAAGCGAATAAAAAAGAAGAAAAAATTCCCACCATTTCCAAGTATCGTCCTCCCAACTCGTGGTTTCTTCATCTGTCTGCTGTGACTGGAAGACTGCAGAGGCGACCTCTGCTGGAGATCTCATTGGCACCTGGACCCAGAACTAAAAACCAAGAAAAATTCACACATGAAAATGCTCAAATACAAGCTGAAAATCTTTCATACCATTTGCTTACAGGTTTGACAATATTTGATAGTCAACATCAATATCATAAATCAGTGTGTAAATGAATTCTAAACATTGCAGCCTTTTCTTTGTCATATATTTGTGAGAGTGGGCAAAAATGTGTTCTCCAAGAAGTCACAAAAACTTTATAATTTAATTGGTAAAGAAAAGCAAATATTAATTTCAGAATCAGTCCATGGCCTTTTTGCAATCAAAATCACAAGAATCAAAATTAAAATATTCAAAACAACTAAATCAACTTCTAATAACTTCTAATTTAAATTTTATTTATATCTAATAACTTTTTATTAACATCTAATAATCTAAAAATACCTGCTGGTTCGGTCCTTGTGTTACATGTTCATTTAAAAATCTAGCAGCATTGACACATTTCCCATGTTTTAGCTTCATCAGCACTGCTGGTAATGTCAAATGTGCAGCAAAGGCCAGCTCTTCTTGGAAAGCCTGGACAGGAACAGGACAAAAATCGTAAAAATTTAAAGTGGTCCAATAAAACTGCTATTCACAGTTGACCCGTGTTTAGGTTCTTTCAATCACTACGATAAGTTTGAAGATAATAAGACACTCACATGGTTATCCATATATTGTGTCAACAGTGAAAAGTGCATAATTTTGAGGAAATCTGTCTGCGCATAAAAAACATTCTCTTCTGGACAGGACTTTATCCATTGGGAAAACTGCAGCAACATTTTATCATTAATCAGCAAGAAGTTTTTTTCAGATTCAAGACTATGGAAGACAAGTTTTTAGGTAAAATATTACATTACCCTCTCAGACAGGTTTAACAAACATATTATAGACATATCTTTTTTTAAAATAAAATATAGCATGTAAATTTCCAGCTGCATTAAAAATCATACACAATATCAATTTGCAAATCAGACTGCATTCATTGCCAAGTGGCATGCCTTACCTTCTCTGAGTTCTTTCTAGTACTTTCTACCTCTGAGTCCAAATCTATCCATGGGGAGATCTTTCCTACAATCAAACTGCCCCAATCTGAAAAAAAGTTCAATACACTCAAGATTGATATCAGCACATAAATTGTGCAACCTGACTTACATTGCTGATGAAATGTAATGTACTGATCAAGGCTAATTAAAGGAACAAATCAATCAATGTGTGTTTGCTATTTGTTAGTTTAAAGAGAAAAGGCAAAATATAAGCCTCAAGCCAGTGTCATTCTGTATTAGTGAGGACCACATGATAACAGAATAACAGATCAGCAGTAATAAAATATGACAGGTTTTTTGCTGATCTGACTGCAAATCCAAAACCATTCATGTCATAAATTTGATGGTGGCCCCTTAGACTTTACTGAGCACAATTTTCCACCAGTCCTTGAAAAGTGAAACATGAATAGCGGGACCAGACTGAAGAGCTTTTTGTTGGACTGGCTGCCAGTTTTGGTGAAAATCGTATAACTTGAGTGTTGACTTACCAGTGGAGGTCAACAGGAGGTCAGATCTTGTGAGGGGCCCTTGTCGTGATTTGGCACCTCCTTCTATAAACTCTCTCTTATAGCGTGGATGGACCATTGGGATGCACACAAAATCAAAGCTGAAATTGTGAACGTAAAATTACAAAAAATCTGTACAATGTGTCTTGAGGGAAACATCAGAATCATAATAAAAGAGGATGCTAGACATATCAAGTGTGGAGGGCCATGTGTAAGATAAGTATACAAACTTCACATTTTACCCTCTTTAAATTAAGTTTATAATCATATCATAAGGCAGATATTGATCAAGTGGGTGGAGTTTGTTCAGCATCATTTAATTATCCATAATCCATTGCTTATTAAATTATTGAACTTCCATTGAAGATTTCTGTTACCTAAGCTAATCTTTCTACAAGTATATGGACACAACTATTTTAATAAACTCTGCAGTTTGGGTTATGTACTAGTAAGGCTATTTCATTAAATTTATTTTAAAAAATACTCGAGTTATTCTGACTTATTTTAAAGTGTTATGGCAGTCTTGTGCGATATCACAAGCGTCGTTCTGAGCGCTTTTCAGATCCATAATTTAATCAAGCTGACGCAAAAAATGTGGTGTTTCTCCATAATGTAGTGCATTACATGTGCACGTACCAGTAACTTGTACGAGTAGTTGAACTTGTAGTGTAGGGTTATGATTTGTCGGCACACACATCATAGTGAGTTTAGAGAAACTTGCTGAGTATTATAGTTTGTTCCTTGCTTAACAATACATATTTGTAAGAAGTTACATACCCATCTTTTGTCGCACTCTCGACAGATGTGTTGATATCTGGACAATAATGAAGGTCTCTCCCGCACGACACGCGCACTGCCATTTTCCCTTTAGAGCTGACCTTGACCCTTTTGGGTTTTTTACTATTAAAAAGTCCACTAATATGACGAATACATATAATGATAAATACATCATTTTAAACAAAGAGGCTTTTTGTATTATAAATGAAGAATAAACCACAACAAAGAAGCTCATTATCATATTGAAGTGATTCAAAAGTGCGAGATACCTCATTCTGTGCGGAACGCTTTCAAGATGTCTGCGCCCTTGGAGACGCACGTTTCGGAGTTAAAACGGTACAAAAACACCCCAGTTGTTGTCGTAGAGAACCACAATGAAGTGCGTTACTTTGTTGATTACAAGGGAACATTTTCAAGTTTATATTTAATATTGAATTAACATGTTATTTAACTCACTGGTGTGCGATTACAGTATTTAGAGGACGTAATTGTTGCGCATTAGATGTACAACTAAATACACGTACATTCAGCTTTTGTCGGTACTCCCTTAGCAATGAACTAACTCAAAATCTTCAATTTTTAAATTTGTCCTTCGTAATACATTCATTGCCCAAACAGAAAAGTTCACTTTTTCTTTCTAATACAGTACAATTGCTCAATTTGCTGTTTTGCTTGTAAGTCAAAACACATTTCACATTATAGTAAATTCTCTTCACTCAGCCACGTCCTGAAATGATCAATGGCTTGTGTTTTTCTTTTCAGGCATTGCCTCACATCTACAGGAGCATTGGATCAAAACATTTACCACTGGAAGGAATCACTTTGATCCACTTGGATGCCCATCCTGATCTCCTTATTCCCAAAGATATCATGGCTGATCAAGTCTTTGACAAGCAGAAATTGTTTGAGTCAGTGGTGATTTTGATAATATGTTTTCAAGTTAATTTGAATAAAGTTAGATTAATGAAATAAAATAAAAATTAAAAACAATTAAAATCAAACAAATAATAATAATAAGGAGAAGATAAATAAACATAACTTAGGAAGAAATTTAGGATGCATACATCCTCTACATGTATTAAACTTTACAATGTACATAGATACAAAAAACCATATGATATTATACTCTGTATATAATATATCTTCAAAACCCCAAATCCAGAAAGTTACTCTTAGTAAGATGTATTTGATTTTTAAACTACTTATTTTTAACAACAAATAAAAATTTACTCATTGATTCATAAAAAAAGTATAATAAGAAATAAGAAATAATGTATTAAATATATCAGGATAATCAAACTGAGTGCATTTGATACATTGTAGGTCACTGAGCATTGAAAACTGGATTATCCCAGCAGTATATGCAGGTCACATCTCAGATATAGTGTGGGTGAAACCTCCCTGGGCTAAACAGATGGATGACCAGGAGACGGCCTGCTGCGTGGGAAAACACAAGACAACTAAGAAAATTATGTGGGTAGAAAAACTTGGTCATTCCAAGTGTAAAGAAGCCAGTATGATACTTTAAATGATCTGCTAACTTTATTTGGATTTAAGTAAATAGAAAAAAATGCATCATTTTTTTTAAAATAAGAGTATTTGACAATCTACCAGTAATTATGTTTTCATTAATCTTTTAAACATATTTCTGTTGCATTGTTATTTTACTTATTTTGACATAATTAAATATATACATTATGTGTTAAGTTTTGATTTGTTAATTTCAACTTAAAACGGGTTTTAATTGAAAAAAAAATTTTGGTAATAGGAATATCTCATTTAAACTTTACATAACATATATTTTAGGATATCCTGCCCAGAAAACTATTTTATCAGTGAACTGTTGTTTGCCCCAGAAGAAGATTTGCTAGAAAAGAAAACACTACATCTGAAAGTGCTAACAATGGACTCTTCTACAGAATTGAAAGCAGCACTGAAAGGAGATAGAAGTTTAGGTCATATAACAGAGTCAGTGTCAAAATGCTGCTGCGAGACTGTGCAATGTGGAATTGTTTGTGATGATTCTAAAAAAATGGCTGGAATTGTCTGTAGTGTATGCTGTAATGCAGAACTGGAGCAAGCTGCAAATACGAACAGTAGGGAACCCTCTGATAAAAACTACTCCAAACAAAATCTTCTCCATGCACCAGGAGTTAAAAGGGTTTTGTTGGATGAAGAGAGAGATAATAAAGATGACCAAATAAAAAGAGTAAAAACTGATTATGGTTCAGGACAAATATCTGGTGGCAGTAGTTCAAAAGACAGATGGAATGTAAAGAATGACAGTATTGTCACTAGGATTGTAAGCAGTTTAGAAAAAGCATCTAGCAAGGCTTATATTCTTGACATAGATTTAGATTTTTATTCCACACAGAATCCATTTAAAATAGCTTACACTGAAAAACAGTTTGAAATACTAAACAGACTGTATTATTTCAAAAGACCTTCACTGGGAAGAGAAGCTGAAGGCACCAGGGAAAGAGAAGCCCAGTTAAACTTTTTGCAAAATGTATTCAAAGATTTGTCGACTGGAAAGACATTCCATGAGATAAAAACTTCTACACAGGAAAAAGACCTCCAAAAGTGAGTCATTAGGTGACATATTTGTTGACATTTATATATTTTCCTAGACAAGTTTTTGTGATGTTCTTCTGCTGCTTGATGGTATTGGTTGATAACTTAATCTTTATCAGTAACTTATTATATATCTGAGATAAGATATGATTATCCAGTTTTTCATGAAGTAACTTTTCAAGCAGCTTACGTTATTTACATAGAAACAAAAATGTAACTTGTTTATGTGTGAATAATAATATTCATTGCATTGTTTGCATCTCAATCATTTTTTAAGCATGAGCACACAACTCACCCAAAATGGTGTAAATTTTGAAAAGTTATTCAACTGGTCACATATTTTTTAACACGTAATAAAAAATTAATAAAATTTTAGTATTATCTTTTAACTGTGTTTTATTATCCTACTTCAGGATGAAATTGGTTGAAGAACTGGTCACAGACCTCCAGAAAAATACAGCTTCCATTGATTTTGAATGGCTTCATGAGGTTGGTTGTACATGTGATGATACAGAGTTACCTCATCATATAAGCAGCCCAGAAGAGATAATTGCCCTTGTCAGGGCCACTAAGTCACCTCTGGAACTTCTCCCTGTGAATCCTATAATGATTACTATATCCAGGTATGGATTGGAATGAAACAAAATTTAGTGTGAATTAAAAAGTTAGTATTCATTGTATATTAATTGTACCACCAGCGTTAGCGCTGGCGGTACACATGGTTTCGGTCCCGTCCGGATCGTTCCGCCGGCTCCGCCGGCTCCGCCGGACGGCTACCGTTACCGCTTCTCCTCCTAGACAGTAAGGGCCCCCGTACCCATCTCATGGATTTAGGTCACCTATAATCTCAACTCGTTCCACGTAAAATTTGGGCTTTGTCGGTATTGGGGTCTGGGTGTGGCACTCATTACAATGCACCCTTGTCTAAAAATGGCAAAATTAAATGCTAATTATCTACCCTACGGAAGGAGTTATGGGAAAAATTTCTATAGACGGCTTTCCAAAGTCATATGTGTAGATTTCAAATATACCCTTGGATTTGACCTTTGACCTTTACTTCAAGGTCAGATGGGCCAAAATTTTCAAAAAAATGAATTTTTTTACGAAAAAAAATTTTTTTGCCCCGTTATTCAGACACTACACAGACTTAACCAATAATATTATTGGAAAGTGTTACCCTTCAGGTCATCTTTCATCTCCATGAATTTGGGGTCAATCGGTGCATTTTCACGGGAGTAGCGGCCATAAGATACCGAAACTGAAAACTGTCTCTAATTCGGGAACCGTTAATGCTAGAGACCCATTCTTTTTTGCATTTTGTAGAGCATGTAAAGCCCAACACTGGAGGTGGTCTCGGTTTTTTTGTATTCCATACGGTTTTCGAGTTACGCTGTATCAAAAAGTACATATTGGTGGTAAAAGCAAAATGTGCAGTACGGTAATGGATAATAAATTTTGAACTCTGGAAAAATAAAACATAAGGCTTGGCAAAGCAGACAACTTGTGTTCAAAAATGACATTATTTCATCAAANTTACCAACATTTCGTTTTAGGCTCCTCAAGACGCCATCGCCAAATATCCTAAGATCTCTAACGGCAACCGAAGGACAGTTGGAGGTGCGACTTCGTAAATTATTATTATCATTATTATTATTATTATTATTACTGAATAATGTAATGAAAATTTTGAAAGGTGGATATTTTACAAAGCAATTATGACGATAATATCGGTTGGAGATTTCACCTGTATCCTATACACTGTGCGTGCTGGTATATATCCCTCATCGTTATATTTTGCTACCCCACTACCAAAACACTGAGGCTGAATTTTACTTAATTCAAGATGTTTTAGCGGGCATAATTACATTCAGTACACAAGATGAATTTGAAGAAATATACATGTATAAATTTCGTTAAAGCTCAGTCATTACAAGATTTGCACGTACCATTTCTTCTCTGTAGCAATGATGTCCGTTATCGACGAAGGAGTGGCTAACATCACTAAGGCCCTTACTGACAGTGGCATTATGGATAATACCTTCTTTCTCTTCCTGTCCGACGTATGTGCGCTTATATTACTTGTATTTTAATCAACAGAACTCTGTCATCTCGCTGTGAATAAAAGCAGTATATATAAAATATAGTATATCTTTGTAAAAACAACAATATCAATCTCAGTAATCGCAATCCTTTGTTTCTTTTGAAATTGGATATATTTGATGTCCCAATTCCAAAACGAAATGAAAAACATTTCCGGTTAAAAGAAAGCTAGGAAGAGTAAACGAAATTGCGGATAGGATTTTAGTAATAATGACAATGACAAAATATAAAACTATAAGTATAATTTTTCCATCAGAACGGCGGTCAGTATGGCTCTGGTAACAATTACCCGCTACGTGGCGCCAAGAGCACATTCTTCGAGGGGGGTATGAGAACCCCTGCCTTTGTTTCCGGTGGACTTCTGAAGAAAAAAGGCTACACACACAATGGGTGGGCATATGCCTTACGGCACTTGTCTTGCATTTTATTCTATGTTCCAAACACTTGTTAATAATTTTATGATTGCTTTATCTACAATTTCAAAGTTTGGTATTACGTGAATCACAGATCCAAACAAAATGATTTTAGTGTTTTCTTCATTAGTTTATTGGAATATAATGAATGATGCAGTCAATACATGTAGAGTTCTGATATAAAATTTCCAGATTGTTCCACATAGCTGACTGGACCCCGACTATTCTTTCCCTTGCCGGTGGGGACGTTACTGGTAAGACGAGTAATATGTTATGAGAGGACGTTTTGCTGAGATTGGTGATTCCTCGGGTTTAAGATATGTGTTTTCAAATCAATTGTTACCAAATATGAAATGTAAGTACACTGTTTGCGTGTATTACTTGCCGCATCGCGATACATGTATGTAAGCAATGTCGGCTCCCTGGGGCAAAGTTGGCTGTAACCGCTAGTGATAAAGCGTTTTAAAATGTGTATGCGTTGTTGTTTATAGGTGAAAACCTAGATGGTATCGATATGACGAAGACCGTTTTGGAAGGTGCCAACTCCAGCAGAGACGAAATTATTCACTTCCTAAGCCAGAGAAATCTTCCAGATTCTCCTCCAGTCAGACAGCAAGGTGTTATTAGGTGAGAAGGAATACACAAACACGTTATACGTTATACATCGTTATACAACTATCACTATCGTGATGTTAATAAATTTTGTTGTTGTTGGGGAAAATACAATGATAACGGCTGCAAAAGTTGATATAAATGACATGATCTTACAATTACTTTTAAAATACAAGTAATCAAGTCGGATACGATCCTCTTGTCAATATTCCAAATATCTTTTAGACAAGGCGACTGGAAACTCATCGAGGGCCATGTGGGTCATGACCTTGACGACTGGTATCAAGATCCATTTGACCTTGAAGGTCAGGCCGGCGCCACTAGGTGGCGGCGTGGCTTAGGTGGCAAAAACAAGGACAGGCTCAACAAAACACCCAAGGTTCCTAAGGTTAGGACAACGAGAGCCCCAAAACCTGCCAAGGTAACCAAGGTGCCTGGTACAACTGTAGACAAGGTGCGACCTAGCGGAAGCAGGGAATACGTCACATACCTGTTTAACATCAAAGGTGAGACGATAAATTACGAATTCGTCCCATATCTTACTGGTTCAGATTTAGACGAATTAATTAATTAAGGGATGGGCTGTAGTGTGTCAGGTAATTAAGGCAGGGTTCGTAAGGAGGGGGCGCTATTGTAGCAGCACTTACATATTTCAGTTATTATTATCACTGGCTCTGTTTGAAGTACGAATAGTAGGACCTATATGTGAAAGAAAGCCCAGGCTAAGGAGCTTGGGGACATGAAATACGCATGCAGTTATACAAGTACTTAACATTGAAGTTCAAGGATACTCCACGTACATAGTAGAAAATAGGAAATACCAATAACCAACAAAATTCGAATTAACACTGTATTGCACGTGTTACTTTCAGACGATCCCTACGAGCGCACTGATCTTTCTGCGCAATACCCAGAGTTAGTCCAGCGGCTACAGAACAGGCTCCGTGAACTACACAAGACTTATCCTAATCTGAAGAAATACCAGGAGAGTGAGCTGTCTAACCCAGACAACTGGGGTGGTGCCTGGAGTCCCGGATGGTGCACTGCGGAGAACAGTGTAACCGAGCCAGTGATTGGCTAATTGAGACTGGTCATTCGATTTTTGACGCGTGCGCTAGAGGGTCGAAAATAAAGATTGTGTAACTTTAAAGAAAAATTGGTTTTCTACTGTCACTTTTGTCAGGAATGCATCAATGGTATTATGTAATGATTAAAGATAGAATTGAATTTAAAAGAATTCTTCTTACCTCGGTTGTATTCTTCATATTAAAGTTCTGTTTACTTTGAAGATAGCGATGTACCGGTACGTGCGCAGTATTGCCATAAGTTAGTGGTTACATGTAATATTGACAAAACCACGTACAGGTACAACAGAAACGTAAAGGAGAGTATGTACATGCATGTTATTATAGCGTGCTCACAACTGTGGTTTTGGTCGTGATTAGCATGCATATTTTATAAGCAGACAATATTTTCAATCAGAAACAATGGGTACAATTTTACCACGTGTAGCGACCTAACTGTTTTAAAATAACAATATTCTTAAGGTCAGCCCTGCAGCACTGCGGAAATGATTCCATGCTGTGTACATGTACATTGTACAATATATGCAATATTAAAAAATTTATATACCGAAAACGATGACACGGACAGGCACATATTTAATTAACAAACAAAACTAAACTCGATGTTTTCTTTACGCCTCGAACCTGCCATCTCCATATACTGCAATAAAAAGTGATGGAAGAAGTGTAAAATTAGCGAACAAATAAAACCGTTCCGTGTGGGAGAGTCCCAGGCCGGGTGAGGATGTACCCTCTACCAGAATAATGACTGCGGCCCTGGTAGAGGATGGGCCGCAGTCATTATTCTGTGGAGATTTTTGCTGAGGCGTTAGAGAGCTCAGAGATTAGCGAGCTACATGTATTTAACCAAAGACATACATGTATCTGTGACTATCCAGTGAAAAATCAATCTTTGGCCCTGGTAGAGGGTAGTGAGGATGGAGGAAGGCGACAATACCTCCTGATCACAAGGGGCCTCTAGAAAATTTTTTTAAAAATGAAAGAAGAAGCCATTAATTTGTAAGAGGCTACTAGAGGTCCCTGTGGTCAGAGAGTACGGGTAGATGTATAATATATATAAGCTCCTGGTATATGCTGCTGTGATCGCGGCCACATGTTTCTGAATCTATAATCTGTCCCCTCCAACCCACTGCCCACGCGATCCTTACCATGCCTTAAATACAGACAGAACTAGGGGGGACGTTTTTGATCGATATCCAGGTGTTCAGTTCGGCTTGGTCTAGCTGCACAATGGCGGGTAGATTAGTGACCTTGCTCACCATCGTGGTGATATATATGTGTAATGACAGCGTTCTGACACAGCCTTCGAAGCCAAATATTGTGATGATTTTGCTGGATGATGTGGGTAAGCTGCTAGTTGACTCAAAGACAAACGTTAGGTCTAACAATGATCTTATGATCCTATGATCTTAGTCTAACAATTTGTTGAAAATCAAGTCACACGTGGTCTCGTCCAATTTTTTAATTATCTTTGTTGATTGGAAAAGTTGATTTATTTTTCATTAAAATGTTTATTTGAAAATGATATACAAGGAAGCATTTAGATCTTTCAATGATTGCTAGGAATATAATTAGAAAAATTATATATAATTTTATGTATCATAAAATTATATCCATTGTAACGACTTTTCTGCTTCTATACTCGGCTATTTTACCGTGTTACTGGATGATTATGAACTACCGGAATATATTTTATTTCGTATTTATTTATATATCATTTATAGATTTTTATCAATTAAGAACAAAATGCACATATAAGTTCCAAAATACATGCACTCCTATAATAATATATACATTTCTTCCAGGTTGGAATGACGTCGGCTGGAATAACAAACATATCAAAACTCCTACACTGACTAAGTTGGCACACGACGGATTGATTCTCAACCAATCATACACTCAGCCTGTCTGTAGCCCGTAGGTCTCCGGAACTTACCAAAGAGCCTGATTTTTTAAGACTCGTAATGTTTTACGTACATGTATATACTTGGTGCCTTAATACACTGTTCAGATTGGTCATTTAGCTCAATAACCACAGTAAGAGGACCTTAATCATTATCGAAATGTATTTAAAGCAACAGGCAAAATATTACGCTCCCCTAATGCACTTTACCTGTACTGTACTTGTAGGTCCCGTGCCTCCCTTATGACTGGTCGTTACCCACACAATGTCTACATGGACGTAAGTATGACCTGGGATGTTGTAAGTTGACCGTGACCCTTACCAACTAGGCAAGTAGTTCGTTCTGTGTAGCTGTCAGCAAAGAGTGAAAACTTCTGTCACGGAAATATTGGAATGAAATGAATGAATAAATAAATAAATAAATAAATAAATGAACGCAAACATTTACAACGAGAAAATCATAAGGGAAGAATCCTATTGTTTGATATCATATATGAGCAATGTATGTATGAACCATAATTTTGAACTGTGCGATAGGTTAAACCTGAAACTTATCTTTCTTGTTAAATTTTGTATTTTCTGCCCGCTTCCATTTACCCGTAGCTTACAAATAAAATTCAAAACTATAATATTCATAAATTCATGAAATTAAAGCAAACTTAAACACTTACATAATTGTGGAGTCTATAAAGTCATAGCAGGAGAGTCATGTCCCTCTCCTTTCAAAATGAAGTCGCAGTGTGATATACAGTAGGCGTGGTCTTATGTATCACATGAGTGAACACATTTGCTTGACTGATAAAGTGAACAGTTATCAGTTTCACGTAGTAATTCCAGAACAGTAGCTAAGCTGCATGACCACTGTCTCTACGTTTATCTGTGAGCTTGGAAAATCACTTTTTTTAGTTAATTGGTTCTGTCGTTGTGTTGTCTGACACGTAGGCCTACATGTACCTCCAGTGCTTGCTTTGTTCCTCAATTATAAGTTCCATAGCTACATGTACAACAGTATAATAATACCACCTTGGATCGGTTTGCAAAGGTTATAATATGTGAACTCACATTCAGGACTCTACCCCACTTGGCCGCGACGCTGCTGAGGGCTTGGATCTTGGACTTGAGCTGTTGCCACAAAAACTAAAGAAGGCCGGATACTCAACCCATGCAACCGGAAAGTACGTATAGATTTGGTTTCTATTGGCTTGGGATATTCAGTGCCATAATCATGCATTGCTATTATTTCTGCACCGAGTGGTAAATGTAACATAAATAGTAGGTGATTTATACAGGTGATTTTTGTATGAAAGCATATCAAATACCTTCATATCAATATGTCAGTAAATGGAAGAGGTATAAATAAAGACAGTATACCGTTTCCCAGCTGTCAAATTCCAAGCCCGCTAATACACACTCGTTATTTTTAGGTGGCACTTGGGATTTTGTGACTGGAAGTACACTCCCACTGAACGTGGGTTTGATTCCTTTTACGGTCATTATTTGGCATCCAATGATTATTATACACATAAATGTAAGTCATCACTGTATCATGCATATGTTGATTGTAATATTTGATTCGCATGTTATTCCTATGGAATATGTTCTTTTTTATTATTGTGTTAGTATATGCAATTCAGGGGTACACTGCATATATCAAAGGGATAATTTTTATTACCGTCTCAACAAGTACGTTGTGGAATGCACTTCATATTACATTGTTTAAAGGAAAAGACGACAACAAAGGTACTGATATTATATCGACCCTAGTAATGTCTACCTGTAAGTGGGTATCATCTACCTCTAGATCTGTTTATGTATTTTTATTTAGCCGGCAGAGGACTTGATCTTTGGTTCAACAGACAGAGTGTCAAAGACAAAGATGGCGTTTACGACACGGTGAGTTAACAAGATCATGGGATATAAACCTATCCATCTTTTTAACATACTCATTTCCATGAAATGCACTATTTCCAACTCTGACAGCGATATTATGCTAAACAAATAGACTTTGCTTATGAAAATAATGGAATCGGT